TCAGTTCTTGGGTCTCCAAAAGTATTTTCCATTAGCTGCTCCTGGACCCTCCCAGGGGCTTCCAGGAGTATCCAGGAGTATCCAGTAGCAGCTGGGAGTGAGACCAAGAACAATCAGGAAAAATTAGAACAGCAGAAAATAACAATGCTACAAGGCTTCCCCTCACTTCCCTATTCAATTTTCAGACTTTCCCATCAATTCAGTTCTCATTATTTCTCGGGTCTCCGAAAGTATTTTCCATTTTTCTCCATCATTTCTTCCTCGATTTTGCAAATAATTATATATCCTGAAAGCACTTCAAAGGCACTACAGTTCCTGAATTTTTTTGATTTTTTCCCTAATTATTTTTTTCAACTTTTTAGAAGTCCCTATTTTTCAAATTTTCCTCATTTCCCTCTATATCCCCCCCTCATCCCCCCCTCATCCCCCCCTCATTCCCCCCTCATTCCCCCCTCATTCCCCCCTCATTCCCCCCCCTCATTCTCCCCCTCATTCTCCCCCTCATTCTCCCCTCATTCTCCCCCTCATTTCCCCCTCATTTCCCCCCCTCATTCTCCCCCCCTCATTCTCCCCTGTTTCCCCCTCCCCCATATTCTGCCAGCCCGAAAGTGATTAAGTTGCCAGATTAATCATATATCAGGCCATAAATTTTGATTGTGTATTGGTGAGTCTCAGTGTCCTTGATATATAGTATAGTGTTTGATCTAAATGTTAAGCAGTGTTGTGTTGTGTTAGTCTTGTGGTAGGAGGTATTCATGGGGGATCTTCCCTCTTTTTTTCCTTTTCATTTTCAAATGCTCCAGGAGCTCCCAGAAGCTTCTCACCCCTATACACTTTGAAGCATTTAAATTGTATTTACTGGATATGTTTGTGCACAAAGCAATGCTCCAGGCCCTCCTGGGAGTGCCCTGGAGTACCTAGCCAACTCCGGAGGAAATGGGCTGTTCCTGGACCGGCCAATCTCCTCCTGATTCTCCCAGTGCTCTTGATACTCCGGAGCACTCAGGAGCATAACAATTTTTTGCTGATGGTTATGTATTCGATAATGAGAAAAACATCTCGGCAATTGCCATACATATCATATGACTTGTATCTATCTAATACAACTGTTATAATGGCCAAAGGAAGTCCTTTGGAAATCAACAAATCCCCCAGCCAGCACCAAAACCCAGTGGGAAAGCTTGGCATGGGGTTTGGCAGAGAATGAAGTGAGAAGAAGTAAGAAATATCTTACCTGTGTGCCTGGTCTATAGGAGTCTAGGCCCATTTCCCTAGCGAAGGGCCTCAAGGTCTGGTTGCCTGTCACGGACCATAAGATTCTCCATTTCCATAACAAAAATCCTCAGCTAGTTCCTCCCCCGCTTCCTCCACTTTTGCCTGATCCGGTCCTTGAGGGTGGTCCCTCAGTAGGTCTGCAATCGCCCGGAGGTCTTCCAGGGCTAGGTGGGCTCGCTGGGGTCTCAGTCTCAGACAGTGTCAGGCCACATGCCCTGGTTGGTTGCAGTTGAAGCAGAGACCTGCTCATCTCTGCTCCTCCCGGGGAGGGCGCATGCAGTCCAGGTCCATAGGCTGGGGGCCTGGCTTTGGGGTCGGGGTTGGGATGGTGGCTGGGGTGGCGGGGCACATGGGTGCTGGAGCAGGTTGGGAGAGGAAGGGGGATGGCTTGGTGGCCAGGAGGCGAGGTTGGGTGGCTTGGAATCGCCACCATTGGTTGTCAAGGACTGAGGCCTCGCGCTTCCACTCAGCCCAAGTTGTGGGCATGGGCTGGAGGCAGTAGATGCTCTCATGGAGCTGGGGGTGGAGGGCATGCTCGAAGCGGTCCACCAGGGCAACATCTCCCATCCATGAAACAGGGCCGTACAGCTCAAACTGCTGGATCAGTTTGTCCACTGGTTCGTTCCCCTGTCGGAGCGAGACAAGTTTCTGGCAGGCAGTGGCTTGGCAGTTGGGGTCAGCAAACATAGAGTCCAGCTCCGCAGCGAAGTCATCGAAGGTAGTGGCTGGGGCCCCTGGGGCCAGGAGGGTATTGATTTGTTGAGTAGCCCATGGCCCTGCCATGCCTCCTTTCATGTAGGAGAGGATGAATAGGACTTGGCTGCGTTCGTCTGGGAACTCCATGTGCCGCATGCTCATGTAGAGCCCGCACTCAGCCTTGAAATGGTCTAGGTCATCTTGGGACCTGGAGAATGGGGTGGGGGCGGCCACTTTAGGCGGTTTTGGGACTGGGGCATGATGGAGGGGTGGAGGGGCTATGGCTGTGGGTTGCCCTTGAGTGGTCAGCTGGGCCTGGAGGTCCCGGAGCTGGCGTGTCAGCTCTGCAATCTGTTCCTCTAATGACATCGGGGTGGGGGGTGCAACTAGGTTTAACCCTTCTTCTGCTGTCAGGGCCCAGCCCTTGTTCCACAATGGGCCCAGGGGGATCCTCCTAGTCGCTGGGGGATCTAGTCCCAGCCCAAGATCTTCAAACTCACTGAGGGGGCTGGCCCCAGCCTTCACAGGAAATGAGTTGAGAAGAAGGGTAACCTTCTCAACCTCCTGTGAAGCCGCTACAAATGGGAGTCGGGAACTATACAGTTTTCGGCTCTTTGCCGACTTTCCATAATTGGCACCCCCCTGTGGGAAGATTCTGGGCAAGCTGCTCGCCCAGAAAGTTCCCACGGTCGTGGCTGTGATGGTTTCTGGGCGAGTAACTCGCCCAGAACGTTCCCACGGGTCTGCGTGCATGCGGGATTGTGGAACAGTGAAGGGAAAAATAGGAGAAAATGGGGGAAGGGTACCTGAGGGTGTGTGGGGTCAGGGGCTGTGCCCTGACACATGTCTTTTGTTCACTGTGCACTGCATAAAATTCGGGAGTTTACTTTGTCTTCTACTCCTGCTTGGTGCACTCCTCGGGGTCTCTTGGAAACCTCTTCAGCTGGGGCCCATAATCGGATGCTTTCCTCCTGTATATCCCCTAGTTGGTGTTCGTAGGACATCATCGCTCACCCTCGTTTCGCACTCAGTCGGCGATTCCACCAAAATCGTGTCTTTCTTCATCCCTACCATGGACTCCTGGTGGTTTCTCGCTTTAGCTCTAGCACACAGGATGTGCGTGAGTGCCGCTTCGTTACATGTGTTGACCCCAGCCCTTTCCTGGATCGACAGACACACATCCGAGCTATTGGACAAGCGTTTGAAGCGGAGAAACCGTATTTGGGATGCTCCGATGACTCGTCGAATCACCTCTAAATGTAATTATGCAGCTGGCTCCGTATTCGCATAAGACCTTGCCTCAAGTAGAATGGCTGCAACGCAGATATCATTGGGTGTGAATTTACAGTCACCCACTGAATAACCCATTGAGTCAACACCTGGAAAACAGTCTGATTGCTCAACAGTTGCATCTGTGAGGCGCACCCTGACTTTTATCAGATTGTGCATTTCACCCCCGATGCTCCATCACCTGACTCGAGGGAAGGATCTTCTGTCATTTAGCTAGCTCAATGTTACATAAGCGCCCATGCAATGAACACGAGGCAAATCCAATTGAGGGCCGTTAGGTGCAGCCTTCTTCAGAAACAGGGCAGACTTTGGGTATGCATTGAGTGTATGAATAAATACGCTCCATGATGAAGTTCAGAAGAGATGTCCAATAAACAAATCCATCAGCCTAGCCTAATCGGTCCGACCAACATGGGCCGGCACAGAATGCTGATTACGGGACAGGAAAACAATGGCCAAGGGCGAGCCGGTGCAGCAATACAAAGAGAGCACAATTAAAATACCAAGTAAAAATAAAAAGTCAAAGGCGGAGTTGGGGAAGGTGGAGGGTAGATGAAAGTGGAAAAGCAGCGTAAGCGGGTGGAACAGGAGCTGAGGACGAACAATTCATAAGTCAAGTAAACAAGGGGTTAAAAATAAACTTACAGAGAACAGCAACAAGTGGAAGGGAAAGGAATAACCACGCGATAACCAGAGGTAACTGGCAAGCGAGCGTAGTAAGTTAGAAGCCCTGCTGCGCTGGGGGAAACATACCAGTGACACCGAGTATAAGCGCGAAGGCAAGCGAGCGGGGGGAGTAGTCTCCAAATATGCACACAGACACTGACATTGAATTGTTGAATGTTCGGTGTGGCATATGGAGGACTAAGCTACTCAGGATCCGATAGATGGGCAAGCAAATCCTAAACCACAGACCTGGAAATGATGGATAGCAATCGTTCAGGCAGTCCTTAGGGCTGCTTATTTGTTGTGGTATATCGGCTACTTGGCTGTCTTCTTCGCGACATTTTTACGCTCAACTGATTCAATTTCCTTCACTTGGTTTTCCAAAGCCCTACCAGAATAGTTGATGAGAAATTGGAAGGAGATGCGAGACGCAAAATCCCTGTACTAGGTTTACGAGCTCACGAAGAGTCTCTATCCGGCCCGCTCCTGGAGAGGAGCACCGAATCCCGTACATGCTGAATGACATCGCACAATGTTGAGATCATCGACGTTGGCGCCGCATGCGCTACAGACGTGAGACACGATCACGATCAACGTGAAGATCAAGACGATTCACGCCTCATAGACACGAATCCATGCCAAAAGCGTGTTTGGGATCTGGACAAGATTGGGGATGGGAGAAAACTTGAGAGCAGTGGCGGCAATTTGGAGAAGGAAATTGGTGCCGGTGATGGTCATTTTCTTTAGCTGGGGGTGCCTGCTGCTGGCAACGGTGAAATAGCCAGGGTAAATGTTTTGTTTCATGCGGGTGCTTACGATGCTGTCGCGGATAATCGCCATATTCGTATCGGTCGCAGGAGGGATATAGTTGGCAGGGGCTGTCCAGGATAGGATATGTCTGGTTAATCGGGATCAACCTTCTCCGGAATAGCCCGGGTGTACTGTGTCCAAAAGACCTCCATTGGTATGAATGCTGAGAAGTGCCACTGGAAGGCAGAAGGGTTGACGCTGCCGCAGTGTGTGTCCCCGAGACGAGATCCTACGGAACCATCGTGATCCTTGTGAATCATTCCATCGCCTGGTGTGGTAACTTGGATGTCGGGAACAGGGAGAATTGGAGACTGTAATGGGCTCCGGGCGTTGTCGTTCAGAAAACAGAAAAGGGAAATGAGTCAACTTGGATTTTCCTGGCATCGTTCAACGGTCTTGGAAGGGGGGAAGATTAGCACGTTCATCGAGCATTACGAGAAATACAAAACCCGGGAGCATTCCAGGACATAACTAAACAGAGAGAACACGCTAGCACACAAGAAAATGGCCTCCGTGGAGGGTGAGATATTATGAGGCAGGTGCTAATATGATTACAGGGGCACGTCAGAGGCCGACTTGATGCCTGTGAGGCCAAAATGCACAGGGATTCGTGAATTCACATGCGCAAAAGTCCTTTTGACATGATGAAGCACGACGGCCCAACAAAGTTGACACTGGGGCCTGGGGCCACGCCCCACCCTTGCAGGGCCGGTAGGTATCCGCATACAGGCATGCAACTTTCCCACCACGTCGTACGGCGAAACTCCGTAGTAGGAATAAACCTGTGCTATGAAGGCGATCTCGGAGTAATACCCGCCAGTGAAGTGGTAGTCGCAGAACGGTGAAGGTGAGATCGAGACGGACTCCCGTTCTGGCTCGACGTTCGTGGGAAGGGGTATATCCAGTTTTCCCGAAGCGAGTCGCGCCATTAAAGCCTCCCAGTCTCCCATGCACCTTAGGGTTCCAAAAGCAAGTGTGTTTTTCACATCGGATGTTAGAGCTGTATCCTTCTCCCAATGTGTGGGTCCCTGAATCATGATATTATAATAGGCAGAAAGCAGAAACTTTTCGAATCCCGAATGTAATCCCTCATCGAGGAGCGATTTGCTGTCGACTTTGTGTTTCTTGTAAGATTCCAGCACGATATCCCAAGCGTCCTCTGCAATAGCCGGGCAGCAAGCCTTGCTCGCGATACGAAAGACATCAAGAGCAGAAAGATTTGGTCCCAAGTGAAGACGGATCATGTCTTGCGTCATCCTTGAAACAATTTTGCGGGCACGTTCCTCAATGTCATTGGCACAATATTTGTGCGCGACCTGCAATACGTGAAGAAGTTGCCTTAGGTCGGGGTTTTCTTGAACCAGACAAGAAGTGAAAGGGCTTGTCACAGATATGAGTATATCGGCATGAGATCTTCGCAAATGATTACCCACTCGAACAAAACATCCACAAAATCACGGAATGCTTCGGCGCTATCATCCAGCATGATGGGTTCATCGGAGTCCTCAGTAGAGTCTATACCCCTGAAGACTTCGCTGATGTGAGCAAGAAGGGCTCTGGGTACCTGAACGAGGAACACGTCAAGTATGATTAAGGCGTTGAAATGGATTAGTAGGGCTTGATAGGTTCTCGTACCAAAAATTCATTCCCTTCGACTATGAAGATTTGAGAGCCCCTGGGAAGCAACGTAGAGGGATGCTTTGTATTTCGAACTTTATATCCCTGGTCTTTCGGTTCCATGGGGACCAACGAGGTGGTACAGAGTCTTACACAAATCGCTTAAGTAGAGTGTGCCAGTACGATTGAGTCTGGATGCTCAGCGTGCCATCCTCGCAGATGTGACAGTTGGATCGATCGGTCTGTCACACCGTCCCATTCCTCAGCTTGCCGGATCCGAGCTGTTTGCCACCCATTGAGAAAAGGCCAAAGCCGCTAAGCCTCTCACAATGAGCGACAAGGAGTTGGGATCACGCTCGAGTACCACAGGGTCTCAAGACCCGGAAGATTATCTGGCGGAGTCCCTTAGCCTGCTGGGCGTCGAGGCTGTTCCCAGCGACAACTCCCTGTCATATGGTCCATTGAAACTAAGTGTCGCATCAAAGGTGATTGAAATCCCCCTTTTCTCGTTCGTCGATTCTCACCCTGGTTCAAGCTAGGGAAGGTGATCTTACTTTAAACTATATCGTACGCGTGTCCCCCACCGATCTCAGGGCCTCACCCTCATAGGCAAACACTCTGCTGGCAGACCAGTTCTTTTCTCCCTCCTTGGTGTTCGGGGAACTTATTGAGCGGAAACGCATTGTTCTCGAGGGATTAACTGGTGAGTACATCATTTATTCGCCTTCACATCCACGGAGCATTAAAAGCTAAACGTCCTTGCAGTACTCGAGCTAGGGGCAGGGGCAGCTCTGCCATCCCTCCTTTTAAGCGTAATTCCGGCTGCTCCTTCACTGGTAACAATTACAGACCACCCAGATCCGTCAATATTCATGAATCTGCAAGACAACCTCCGAAGAAATGCGAACCTGCGTTCCGGATCTTGTAAGGTATCTTGCCTTCCCTACATATGGGGGGAAGACCCTGAGCCACTCCTGTGAGTGCGACTCATGTTGCATTTGATGGGCTCCGTAATTTAGGGTGACATGTTTATAGGAAAGAGGCAAGACGTTTAAATCCCAATCAACAGGGCAAGGGCTACGACGCCATGATTCTATCGGACCTTCTGTATTTCGATTCATCCCATCGGGACTTGATTAAATCGTTGACGTTGCTTCTTCGGCGACATCCATCTTCAGTAGCCTATGTTGGTGCCGGCATCTATACCTCTGAAGCTACCTGCTCGTCTTTCTTTTCCCTAGCTGAGGAGGCAGGATTGGCCAAAGAGGAGGGTCAGGTAGAGCCTGACTGGCTTGGAACAATGGTCATCGGAAGATTGAGCCGGGAAGATCTTGCAAAGCATAAAGCAAATTCGAGATGGTGGACTCTTCGGTGGATGTCATAATTACAAGCCCATGAAATTGAATAAGTTAAGCTGGAATTAATACACATTATGTTGCAAGATGTAGCAGCTGTTTTCATCGCTGGCGCTAGACAGAGGGACGGCTGAGCTCATCCATGGCGTATTGGCAGTATTGGATCCGCTCGTATTGCTGAAAGGTCTATGGATGCTTCCTTCTCTGCATCAACTTCTCCTATCAACATGCTGAAAACATTAATCATTGTCAGTGCAGTGACTGAGGGCCACACGTCAATGACATAACTTTATAGATGAGAGGTCAGGGAATGCCCGGCAAAACTTAGCCGTGGCAGGGAGAAAATAGGGAGAGAAGGAAAGAAAACCTACATCATATCACCTTTCACCAGATACAACCCGAGAGGGACCTCTTCCACTGACTCATCTGCACTGTATATCCGTTCGGTGGAATTCGACAAGACGACATTCGAACGCTGATCAAACCCAGACAGCGTGCCCTAGATATAAAAACGGATATCATGTTACAGCCGACACGCCCACCAACGAAGAGCTAATGGGCTCACAATGATTGTGCGGCCATCTTGAAGTACTAACAGTACTTTACCTATAATGTTCAATGAGAATGCAGCGACGCGCCCAACACGCCCCTACAGCTCACTATCCACATATCCTACAAGACTAGACATGAGTGCGATGAGCGGGGAAGGATATGTCCTTGAGTGGGACGTTCGCTTCGTGCACGGTTGCTGAGCAGGGCCAGGTTCGCATTTGCATCCGACTGAAGAACGCCGTCCTGTTACATCAAATGCCATCACCACCCAAGCACGCGGCGTCACTCATTATGTACGTCGATTATGTGTATATGCGTGAGTTAAGTTCCCACGTATTCTCGCGTTACGCTGTGTTTCCCACCTCTACCTTGGTTTTCCTTCGTCCGTTGGTGGGTCGAAAATCATCTTAAACTCAGATTGCGCCTAGGTTTCGAACCTTGCGATGAGTCAAGATGCTGGGAAAAACGCTCCAGCAGCCAGTCCGGGACTCTCACTGACAACGCTTGATAACTTTATCCTGAGCCACCAGGCAGCAGCGTCAATTCGACTTGCTCCGGCTACAATCTCCAAAAAGTGATTCTTTTCGAAGCACACAGCTCAACCGACGCGAAGCTGGCAGCTGAATCGGGGCTTACAAACACGCAATGCCTGGAGACCTCAAAGAGGTGCGAAAACCGGCTCAAAGCCGTAGCTCGTACCCGAACGAAAGCCGCAATCAGAGGTTTGCGGGGTGAACAATCGGGTAAGCGAGCCGAGGTCCCTGTTCCAGCGGATGGGATGATTCGGCTGGTCTTCCGATTCGGGACGAGACGATATCCCTCAATTGCCAACCAGAGTGCGTGTAGTCTAATCAAAACGGAATCGAGACGCGTCGTCACAGACGGGGAAAATGACCATCCAGGGGAGAACGCATGGAATCGGAGTCCAGCTCAGGAGAGTGTTGCTCTCAACCGCTCGAAGACGCGCGGCCTCAGAAATGTCTAGATGCAAACATCAAACGCGCCATCTGAAGCCTTCAAGCACGGGGTGGACAACCGGACTTCTCCCTTTTCCTTCGGAAAGACGTCCTCGCCAATCGATTGCTCGACTTCGGATCGCTCATTGAAGAGAAACGCACGAGAACAATGCGGTACTGCGACAACGTCGTCCTTGCTGATGGGATCGAAGTGTCAACCGGGGGTCCGTCCGTCAGTAAAACTAATCTTACCAATTCGATGCAGTCAACTATGCGTTATACAGCGGTTCTCTGGGCTTTCCCCCACCGAGCCGAGGAACTTGAAGTTTACCACGATCACATCGTCGAACGTTTCAACAGTCATCCGCACGCTGTCCTCAACATCGAATGCGACCGAGCAGCGTGCAGATTTTCTCTATCACAACATGGACCTTGCCTTCGATGATTCACAGAGTCCTTCCCCCGAGCTCTACCCCACCCCAAGTCCTAGTTCCTACACTCTTAGAGGAAGCGCAACCAATGGCAATGACAAGAACAGTGGCCTTAATCCCAGCAGAGAAAAGAGCAACGGTCAGTCCCATTCCAAACTGGTCAAAAATGGAATCGTCCCGGCAGCTATGGTGACTTCCTGATCTGTCATAAGTTCAACAAGCCCGGAGGGTGCAAATGTACCGACTGCCGTTTTGACCACAGATGTCAGTCTTGTTACTCGAACAGCCATAGGGCAGTGGAATGTTCGAAAGCGAAAGAATGGAACTGAGCTAAGCGACTCTACATGGTACATGTGTTTTAGTTTTTGGTAAAAATGACTTTACTCGAACACCTTCAGCTTCATACACTGAGGTTGCACCACCCCTTCCAGACGTGCCAGTGACTTTCGGTACCGTAACATTAAGTCATATCTGCACCTGTTCAAAATCGTCACTCCGATCAACGTTGATCGATTCGAAGAGCTCCTTTCGTCTCATCCAAACTGCCCACTAGTTGAATCAATGTGTAGAGGACTGCGTTACGGGTTTGGCCCTTCGCCAATGTTGAAGAAGTTGTCTTGCGTCCACACGACTCACCCAGTTCTAGATGAAGAGTCTAATGCTTTCCTCAAAAGGCGGTGGGGCCTCGAAATGTCTCTCATCGGGCGATATTCCGCATCTTTTGTTTCTTCGTTAATTGACGATTCCAGTGCAGGTGACAAATCTTTAAAACTCTCTCATACCTGCGGACGGCGGCTTTGTGACCCCCGACAACCTATCCGACCTAGCGTCTAACATTCGCGCCGTCATGAGAAGGAATGACCCAAGCTAGTTTGGGCGTCCGATGCGTCTGAGGCGTACCGGGGTCTGCTCGTGCACCCACGCTGGCAGGTTCACCAGGCCACTGGTGAGTATCATGTTGATCATCGTGCGGTGTTTGGGAATCGCATGTCGGGCCGTATCTGGTGTTTGTCTTTTGGTTTGGTCTTGTGGGTTGCGACTCGCGTCCTGGGGATCCGGGATATGTGGATGATGCTTTCAATGTATCATTCGACGATGTTCTCGTTCTCTTAGAGCCTTACCATCGTCTACTTCACGCTGACCAAGCACCTTTCTTGCGCTTGCTTGATGAAATTGGTCTTCCACTTGACAGCAAACAACTCTATGGCCCCCTTCTGGAGATAATCGGCTGTCTTTGACGCGCAAAACCTTACCATCCCAATCACCGGCGAGGCAAAAGCAAGATGGGTTGACGCTGCTCATGATTTCCTGAACAACACCCCAAGCCACAGCCGACGGCAGCCGCTGTGTACATGGTTAAGGATCCTTACTGGGCTTTGGATGTCTTCTCTATGCACTAAATCCTCCTTACGACAAAATAGCTGGCAAGACTATCATGGCCCAAGGCATTTATATTAACGCACTCATCTGACACAATCTCCTGTGGTTCGTCGAGTCTGTTAAGAGGTTGAAAGGAGTGCGAGGTCTTTCTGCTGAATCTTGGAGTGCCTAAGAGGCGGATATGCAGATGTGGGGAGATGCGAGTAAACTGGGTCTGGGCTCCGAAAGTGTGCGCAGCTTTGTCGGTGACCCAGTGTTCGATCAAGATGGATCCTTCAAACATTTTCTTTAATGAAGCCATCTCCTTGCTGCATTCAAGTGACTCGCGATTTTTACTGATTCCTCAAATTCGCTCGGCATTTTTAATTCACTCCGGGCATCTGCTACTTACAACTCCATCCTTATGTCAACTGTTGCCATTCGTATTGACTGCGGTATTGATCTCCGAGTTTTCTTAGTCGAAGGAAAGCGGAACGAGGCTGGGAATGCTCTCCCTCGCCAAAACTTCACCCATGCCACCTCGGTACCTAAGTTAATGATTCGATTTTTTATGCCTCTGCTAAAGGAGCTGGAGGCGAACCAAGAATGAACCTTCCGTCTCGCTCCTTAGCCAGACAACCACACCATGAGCCATGGTCAATGGAGCACCTCCTTGTTGAGCACAGTACTGCACACACCTACACATTGGCTCTCACTTCCTACATTACTTTCTGTAACCTTCATCAACGGCCCATTGTTCCTACCCTCGACACGTTGGGTTTTTACGCCGTATACATGTGTTATCATATCAAGCCTACTTTTGTCCATTCTCACCTCTCAGGTATCTGTGTGAAACAATGATAAAATGGGGCAACAGCCAGTACCTTCAAGGTCGTGCTTGGGCCATTGATGACATGATTAATTGACGTATATACGCATAATCGATGCGCAGAATGAGTGACGCGCCCTTGCGTGGTGATGGCGTTTGAGATGGTGAGACAACGGCTAACACCTTCAGGACAGTGCTAGGGCCATTGATAGCTTGCGTATATGTGTGATCGACGTGCGGACAAGTGGCGCGTGCTTGAGTCGGATTAGAGACTGGGTCCTGCCTAGAGTCGGATGCCAATGCGAAAATTATGACCTGACCTGCTTCGTGCACAAGTGGTGTGATGGGAAAGAGCGCGCAATATGAATGCGGAAGCAAAGAGGCACCTTTCCTTTTCTTCTATCATTCAAAACTGCAAATTCGTCTTCATCTTGTGGGCCGTTGAGAAGGGTACCACTACTTCTCCTGCGGCCGTGGAGTTTATTTTGTTTGCTAGAACATCATTGCCCCACGTTTGAAGCATGTGCACTAGTTTTTTGCTGACACATGCTATAAAGTTGGTGACACATTGATTGATGTATCTTGTCTTTGCAAGTGTGTAACTTCTTGGGGATCCTTCCTGTCTCCATCCTAACGTATGGATGCAATGTACGAATGGTATTGTTCAGAACTGCGAAAGCGATTGTTTCGCGAAATTCGAACCAAATGACGCGAGATATCAAGTACGTGGTAAAGAGCTAATAAGTAATGCCACTCTACGTATTCTGTGAAAGTAACACGAGAGCATAGTGCACCTGTCTAGTCCTCCGTTTGAGAACGTTACATTGGTGCTATGTAGTGCAGACAAGATATTTTCAACATTGTGTTTGTTTATATATATGGATCGACTCAAACCCTTTCTGGTCCACCTAAGCGCCTTCAACCCGACTCCGCGTTAAAGATAAGATATCAGTTATATGGGCCCAGAAAGTGCGTCATCGTCTAGATATGATGGGAAAGGACTGGCCACGGAGTCGGAGCCCACTTCTGCTTCTGACGGACATGCAAATCTCGACATGGAGATTCAGCTCCCTCGCACTTTTCGAAGAGCCTCGAGGTATGTGTTGTCGTCCTCAAGCCTCAATTGCTTTTCATTCTGACCACACGCGCAACCAGCAGGGAAATAGATTGCGACAAGTAAGTTAGTCTCCCAGTATAAGATTCACGAGAACTGACACAGACGTTTCTCGAAAGCATCCTCCGAACTGGTGCGACGCGTCAATCGCGCATTCATACCCCATGATCCTCACAGTTTTCCCCAAAGTGTTTGGAAAGACATCGTTCAAGGGAAAGCAGAAGGAGATCGTTGAAGCCACGCTTCGGGATGCGGACGTCTTTGTCAGTGCCCCAACTGGGATGGGAAAGGCAAGTGTCTAGACTCTGCATTCCTGCCAGTCATTTAACATTGAATGACGTCCGATAGAGCCTTTGCTACCAGCTCCCTGCTGTAGCGGAGCCGGTATGTTACATTGTTGCACCCTCGGCAACTTTTGACCGATTTCTCGAAGGAGGGGGGGATCACCCTTGTTGTCTCCCCGTTGCTGGTGCTCATGAAGGATCAAGTTGCGAAACTACGCGCTTGTGGCATTGATGCGTACTCCTTAACATCGGAGACTCCTACTGCAGAGAAAAATGAGGCATGATTGTGCCCTCCACTGTGCCAACTGTTGAGCTTTAACTCATCCTTCAGATTATGACGGGCCTAGAATCCGGACCCGCCTTCATCACATTACTTTATAGTGAGTTGCTTGCACGAGTCCAGCGAAGACATTGCTGAAGCGGACGCCCCAAGTTACACCCGAAAAGTTGATGGTGGGAAGTTTCATGGGACTTCTGACACCTCTGAATCGGCGTGGTAAACTGAAGAGGCTAGTCATTGACGAGGCAAGTATCATACGGCTGTGATTTGGGATATTCTCACCCACTAAATGTCAAGGCGCACTGTATCTCTGTCGGTATTATCATTCCTCAGATATGTTCTGTGAATGACCTACTCCCAGGAATGGGGACATGACTTCCGCGAAGAATTTAGAATGCTTGGCCGTTTTCGAGACCACTTCCCGAACGTCCCTATCAGCGCTCTGACCGCAAGTGCCACTCCAGCGTAAGCATCCTCCGAGCGTAAGAGTTGTCTGTAATGACTCACGACCCAGACAGGGTTCGGTCCGATATCAAAAAGACCCTACAGATGAGTGAAGAGCATTTGTTCTCCATTGTCTATCCATTCAATAGAGATAACCTCTTCTACGAGGTACGTTTTTAAACGCTTGCTGCCTCAGCCTCTCTATCTTCTCATGACGAAGGTTCGGCCAATACCGTCAATGCCCCAAGAGGCTCAATTCGAACTCATTCACGCCTATGTTCATTCGCTTACGGAAAGACGGGGTCGCCCATCATCCGGAATCGTATACGCTCGTGCGCGTGCTACTTGTGACGAGCTTTCCAAGTATCTGCGAAGGAAAGGTTTGGCTGCGCGGCCATATCATCGAGGCGTTCCCCGTCCACGACTTGACCTTACATTGCAGGAATGGCTGGATGGAGATGGGTCATGCGATGTCGTGTGTTGTACAGTAGCATTTGGTATGGGTATTGACAAAGCGGACGTCCGGTATGTTTTCCGATCGTACATCTAACGCCAGTCAATAATGTGTACGGAACCTAGGTATGTTATTCATTTCGATTTACCGAAATCTTTCGAAGGTGCGCAAGGTACCTAGTCCGTTCGGTGTATGTAATATGAACATTTATTAGGGTATTATCAGGAGACAGGTACGTCGGACTCAATTGCACCTCAGACGGCTGCCTGATCCTATGCTAGGACGTGCTGGCCGTGATGGCGAGGTCCGTACACTGTATTCCATCCTCGCACTTTGGCGTTATTAACCATAACCCTGCAGCCCGCGAAATGCATATTGTACTACTGTGGGTGGTTTATTGGCTGCAAGGTGCAGGAAAAACCCTCCTTACAACATTCCAGCTCGAGAGGAAGCCGTCAAAATACGACATTTTGTGAAGAAGTCACAGGCGGTGCGTACATGGCGCGGGCCTGAACCATCACAAAGGGCTCCAAATAGCGTTGAAGCGGTATCTCAAATCCGTTTTCATTGCGCTGAGACGCTGCTAACATACCCACTGAATCCCAGTTGATATCATACGCAGAGAACACTGGAATATGTCGTCACGTTGTAAGTGTCCACCGTCAAAAGGGAATATCTTACCAAATCTTCTTAGCTCATTTGTCAATACTTTGGAGAAGTCATTGATTTCCAAGACAAAGATCTAGTGAAAGTCGCATATTGTGACAAAATGTGCGACGTGAGTATGAGATATAGATGCATTCTGACGTACAGATGTTTGAGATGTTTGACGTGATCATCTGAAGGTATGCAAGAACCCGGAAAGGACTCGCCAGCGTAAGGCTGATCTCGATAGCGAAGAGTGGATATGTTCACAAGTCCCCAGGCTCCAGCCTGAGGCACGATCGTTGGAGAGCGGTGACGAGGAAGACCATACCAAATTTCCTGGTGATCGGAGGTTTACTGACGTCCATAAGTCGAATATTGGTACTGTTCTTTCACCATCGCATTCCGCATCCTTCCGACTCCCTCAAACCCGTCCACGACTGTCGTTGCCGGAATCAAAAGCAACTACGGTTAGGCCAAAGCGGTCGTCCCTTGGGTCTTATGACAAAAAAGATGAGGGTCCGGTCCTTCGGCGTGGGCTCATCAATTTGGCTCAACCTGGACAGGACAACTACGACTTAGTGGATCTAAGCATTACACGAGTCAAGCGCACTTCCTCTGTGGATGAGGCTTATGCAACTAAGCGTCCCAAGACATTTGGAAGTAAAAAGCCAATCCGCAGGGCGTCTTCTATGGCGCCGTTTAAGGTGCCTTGGAAGGTACCCCCGGCAGCATGGTCAGACGACACGAGTGCAGGTCCAAGTGTTCGGCCCAATGGTAAATCCAGTTAAATCCATTTGATCCCGATCTTGATTGAGAATCACATCCATAGAGCCAAAAGAAGCTAGCAGCGGCCCTGCTCCGATGGTTGGTGCCACGACAGACGATCTTGGCCTTGATCTCCACGAGAAACCCCCCGCTAATCCGAGCCAGCCAGACCCCCACGTTGATCAGGACGAAGGTAGTGATAGCGATAATTTTTTCAACCCTAGGATGACGAAAGTTTTCTTAGGCCTCATTCAACTCACCAACGAACAAAAATTGGCTTTGGTTGAAGATTTGGAGATCGATGTCGCTTTTTCCGAGAAAATTCCTATAACTGCAAGGGAGGATGGATTGGAGACCATACTTTCTGCCTTGCGTCATTCATTACTGGAAAGGCGGGATGCCGCTGAACAGGTCTGGGAAGATGTGCAACGGGGAGGACGGTCACTTGACGGGCTGAAACGGTAGCTCTACTCAGAATCCCCTCGATGAGTCCCCTGTGCTGACGATCTCGATGTGGCAGCGCTCATGTGGTGCGCAAGTGTGCTATACGACTGGAGTTCAATGCTATGTCGTATGCAGCGAACACTGAAGGATATGTGGACAAAGTGGGTGCACGCTCTAGGGCGGCCTTTGGCCTTGGTTTGGGCCACCGGAAGACAAAGGAGATAGAGGAATGCTTAGATTGTTTGAAGGGTGCCGTTGGCAAAACTAGATGAATTTAGGGATATACACGCACTCTATAATAGGTGCATCTTAGGCCTAGCGTACGAAGTAATAAGGCGGTGTACTTAGATCAGGTCTTCTCGATGTTGACGGCGTAGCATCTGATGTTCTTTATATGCATAATCGGTGCTCCAGTCAGCCACTACTAACAAGAAACCCAGGATGAGCGATCAGTGACTAGAATGCCGCAGGACCATATAGTGCGGTCATGATGGTTCTTAGGTCGGAAAGGTGTGATGACATGGAGTCCTGGCAAAATAAAAAAAGGAATGTGACTATCGATCCTTATCCGAATCTTCCCCTTGCAACGGGCTTAGCGAAAGTATTAGATTTCAGTTTCACAGACTCCAGAGGGCGCAGTCAGATCCGCACCAATGGAGTGGCGCCGGAAAGATGATATTAGAAGCGTTGTGCAATTACATTACAAAACCACTGATCGTACGGCGGAATGAACAATTCCTCAGACAAATATTGACACCGTTCCAAAATAAAGCAAACGAATCATGGCACTATGTATTGGAGGCAAGTCACAACACAGATGTAGCTTTGAATATCTTCAATTACGGCAACTTCTTGAGGTCGCCCTTCACTCCCTTGATTCTCATCCAAACCCAGTATCATGAATTTGGGTTTGGCCGTCCCGGTGAGCGGCTGCCCTTTCAATGGCCCACGCGGAGCCATTGGATTGTGTCCAGAAATTAATCCAAGAGCAAGATTAATTAGTTCTATTGTCCATGGTCAGGGGCGTCTTCTGCGCTCCCTTCCGTTGCATCGTCCTCAGTATCTTCATACCAAAGTCTCACGGTGGGATCTTTCTCCAGGCTTCCGGAGGCAATGATATTACGAGTTGGGTGTGTCTGCCAAGGGCGTGGCATGATGAGATTGGAATGAAAAATGAAAGTGTTGTTGTGCTTACTGCAACACCAACGACTACATCTTTATGCCCTTCTAGTGTCTGAACGATTTCCTTTGTCTGTAGGTCCCAAAGGTAGATGCTGTAATCTTCGCTGCCGCTGACGATCCATTTGCCGGATCCAGTGATACTGAACGCAGAGAATATGCAGTAGGCATCATTCTTGTGACCAACGTAAGTCTTCAGAACGCGGGAAGTATGGAAGTTCCAGAGACGGATCGTATTGTCAAGTGTAGATGCTAGGACAAATTTCCCGTTGGGTGAGAACCTGACATGTGAGCTGAAGAATCGTTTACACTCGTTATCCGCTTCAATTCGAGGTTATACACGTACACGCATGGGTTGGCTTCGTCTACGAGAGTCTTAAGGCACTCGCCTGTTGCTGTATTCCAAATTCGGCTAATAACGATCATTAGCCATAAGGAAATCGCCATGTGGGTAAGACGACGAACATTAAACCATCATAACTGCAGGACACAATTAATGTTCCATCCCGATTGAACTGGACAGCCGTGCACGGGTCGGAATGGGCCGAGATGGACTTCAAGCATTTCCCTTTAGAGGCTAGCCTCAGAACTGGATCAAGGGAATAGTAGACCCCTGTACCTCTTTCAGCATCCCATATTCTTATCGTCTCATCGAAGCTTCCGGAAACAATGAGATTCGATTGTGGATTATAATTGACAGAGAAGACAAAGTTTGTGTGGCCTTTAAGGATTCTGAGCGTCCGTGCCTGTCTCACTAATAAGATAGCTCTTTGTGAAGGGAAGGAAAGTGAACATACTTCATCTACGGACCATATGCGAATAGACCCATCGTCAGAGGCGCTGGCAAGATACTTGCTGTCACCAGACCAAGCCACATCGGACAATCCTTCGTTATGTCCAACGAGTGTTTTGACTTGATGCCCAGTGTAGACATCCCATATTATGATCTTTTTATCGGCAGCTAGATAAGCTAAAGCCTGAGTCAATGGATTGGGTGAATGATAGCGTTCACGCACAACAGCTAGCAACATAATCGCCGTCAGGGCTGAATCTCACACAAGAGAGTCCCATCTTGTGGCCTATATGTATGCTCAAATACATTAATAAGACTCCGGAGGACAGCACATACCTGCCATGGTAAATCGAAGCTTGTACCTTGGTTTCGGCTTGCCTGGAGCAAGGGGGGCATCTGGAGCACGAGGGGGAGTTTTTGGAGCAAGAGGAGGAGCTAGAGGCTCTTGAATAGGTGCCCCAGCTTGGGGGTCCATCTCCTCATCGGTTGATTGCGATCCTCCGTCCTCCCCAGGTCGCTGCGATGGCTCAGCTGATGCGTCCATGACTGAATTGAATGGCAGATTTAAGCGCGCGTGTGAAGGGTTATTCCCGTGGCCAGGCCACGTGACGTAGCATCGTCTCAAAAAAATGGCAGAGAATTGGACGAAGCCTTCGACAAGAACTGAGATCATCGATCAGTTGGTGGAGGGAGTGGGTGAGGAGTAGCTATTGTCGTCTTGTTTTTCAATGTGTGTGACATATTATTCAGATAGATACAATCCTCAAAACGTTGGCATTCTCGAGGACTATTTGTACCATCAGATACGAGAGCGGGAATACGATTGTCTCCCCAATCTTGCCATATTAAAACTGTTAGGTTTTTTGCGTAAGGTTTTTGTCACTGACTGATGGGAAATCCATTAGATATCAATTCAATCCCGACTTGTACAATCCAGACGTGGTGATAAATATCCTCATCAAGGCTCTAACTGCCGCTCCTGCTCCCGATTTCAACCTCTGTCTTGCTCTTCTCGGCGAAAGACAGGCGTGTACCGTTTCTCTAATCTGTGACACCTTCAAAATGACGTCCTCCCGTAGAATATCCCCCTTCCTGATGGCGAACCCGACCCCCTCCGGCCACTACTCCCGAATCTCATCCAACTCTCCAATCTCCTCCACACATGCCGCTTTCCAGATTTCTGGAAAACGTATCTCTCGCAAGAACTTGCGCCACTGCGTGAAAATTATACTGTGGAATGCGCAGGATTTGATGACTCCGTAAGGGACGCCGTGATTAGGGCCGTCCAGGCAACATTCACAAACATTGGGAGGGACAGATTTGCAACTTACGTCAACTTACAAGGTGATTTCACATACCCCAGATTTGACACCCCCGTTATTTAAAAAATGCACCGCCTTAGGGGCCGATTTCGAGTCTTATGTAGCTTCTTTGGGCTGGTCATTGAATACGTCAACGGGCGTCGTGTCTGTACCACCGAACATCGACAATCAGATAAAAGCGACTGTTACGCGCGAGACGATCACACTCCCGCGTACGTTCGATGTCTATGTCTGTGGCGTATTGCTCACATATTTTTTCTTGTGCGCTCACCCCTTCAGAGCTTCAGAAAATCGTCGGGCACTCTGCCAAGGCCTGAATTGGGGCAAAGCTGTGTTGCTGCTTTGTCGCCTATGTACTGCCACTATTACTTCACGCATCACACTGACCCCTTTCTCTTTGCGTTATGGTTCCTGGATGGGATCACGTAATTGCACATTAAGGTTCATGGAGTTCGACTATTACAGGTGCCAAGAGGCACCAAGAGGTATGAATGCCGATGTGAAATGCGAAAAAAAAGGTCATGGCAATAGAACTTGAGTTACATAAGAGTTTGAAGGAACGTGTTCGAGGTAGAATAAGCATAAACGAATAAAGAATGAGCGGAAAAACAATAGCAAAGAGTTTTTTGTCCGATGAGGAAATTCACATAACAGCAATCATCCTTCCCATTTCCATCCCTTTCCCGTTCGGGGGTCCCCTGTTTACATTATTGGCGCTACGATCCTGTGCGTGACTGGGCCTCCTTCCCAGCTGACTGCCAAACCCCATCCCTGCGAACCTCTTGGGAATATCCTGAGCGCGGCTTTGAGCATCCAGTTGAGCACGTTCACGTCGCTGTAATAACATTTCCTTCACAGCGTTCGTGTCCGCTCTCCTGAGCTTGGTCTTCTGTTTCTTATCCTCCGTCACCAGACCCCAATGTGAACCCCCAGATGGTATTGGTTCATTGCCGCCTCCTTTTTCGTATTTAGTTTCTAGAGAAAGTGAATTGTCCAACGGAGCAATGCCTGTGATCGTATTTGACCCTTCTAATAAGGAGTCGTATCGTAACCAGTCTGTGAGAGTGTCGAGTTCCTCTTGTGTGCTCTGATAGAGTATCGAGATTCTCTGTTCCTTCTGCCCCCCGGCTAAAGGTGGCACAATGAAGGCCCGCATCGAACGATTGGTGCTTCTACGAGACATCCGCTGACGTGGCCCACTGATAGGGTACGCTAAAGAACTCACACGTGTCGGTGGAGCACCAGTAGCGGGACCTGAGGCCTGAGACCATATAGAGATGCTGTCGAGGGAAGCTGACCGCGTAAGGGAAGGCGTCGAGTCTGAAGTGTGAAGAATTTTGGATGAGTTAGCAGGAGAGTTAGGCGGTGCTTGGGTGAATATCGTACGTGATGGAAGAGTGAATGGAGGATCGAGAAGTGCACGAAGGGTCGGCGATTTTCGATCGGAAATGGGGGCAATGGTGGCTTCGGGTGAGCGTACAGGCGCAGGATTCGAAGGTGGCTTTGGAAGAGGACGAAAGGGTCGTTGGAACGGCCTGACGGCTTCCTTCCCTTTGCTGCTGCTGGTTCCAGGGCCAGAAACGGAGACTGGCGGGCGAGAAGAGCTAGGCCTAATGGACAAGGAGGCCGCCGCATCCTTTGAGTTCGTGCTCTCGACGATCACCTTCTTGCTTCTTTTCGTTGTTGGGCCAGATTGGGCCTGGCCGACGACCTTCACCGCCTTAGGGCGTTCTAGAGTAGGATGCAAGGGCGGCGGACTGACAAGGACTGGTTCCAGGGCTATGCCTAAGGTCGAAGTAGAGGTTGATACTTTTGCCAGAGTCTTGATTGTGCTTCCAGAAACGTCGGCTGATCCAGTCTGGGTTGGGAGCGGGAAAAGGAAGGCGGGATGGCGAGGTTTCTTAGCGGGCCACTCCACATGCTCATTGCTCTTCGGCTGAGTTGGAAGGCCCCGGGTAATAATGGGATGAAGATATGGTTTCGATGATTTTGAGGAAGAGAAAGAGGAGGTTGGAGAGTCGGTTCGGCTTGTTAGGGATGGGGGGTGGCGCTCGGAGTAGGATGAACTTGCAGCAGGTGCCGACTGAGGCAATGGAGCTACTGAGTCTGACTGATATTGGTCATGAGCAGGTAAACTCGATATTGAACTCGATTTCCCTCGACATTTGCGACGGATATGCGGTCTGCGTTGCAATTCGGCAGATGGATGCGGGATATAGAAAGCTTTTGCATCTGGCATCTCGGACGAGGGTGACTTTGCTGAGGCGATCAGATCAGAAGCGCTAGGAGCATCTATATGTGAGGGCCCAGCAAGACGAACACCTCCCCCGTACGTATCCGAGTATAAAACTAAACCCGAGAGCATAGAAGGGTAATTTCCGGCATCACTCCGCCTCCGCAAATGCGTAGCAACCGCCAGAGGATCTCGATGTTGCAGTTCCCCAATGCGGGTGCCATCTGGCCGCAACCTGGACCGCTGAGGCACGATTGGTACTGCTGGAACATTCTGGGACGTCACGGGCATGTTGTCAAGAGGTGGCGTGAATTGTTGTATCTTGTCTGGCTCGGCTGCCTTCCAGGGAGCCATCCGCGACATTGATGATAGGGGATGGGAAACAAGTCACACAGGAGAAAAGTCGGAAAGGTGTAGAAAACCATTGAGGACGGACCTATATAGCAGATTTGCGGTGCAACAAGACTTTGAGCGGAAATGGCTGTGTTACGTAAATATTGCACAGTTGCAAGTATGTACATAATCACAGCTTTAGAGACGAGATATTCAAATCACCGCTCGCCTTGATTTCCGCATCATATGGATATATGGAGATCCACATGTGAAGGCATATTACACTGAACGGGCGTGACCGCAGCCTCATGGGCGACACATAGCCGTTGTTCAGGAGGCATTCATCAGCGTGACGTACTTACACCTTCGGATGGCGTTTTCAAAGATGTCCAGATCGCTACGGCAGACGCCCAGAGCAAATGTTGGCTTGCTGGATGAGTTCCACAGTCGAGGTATGGGTTGTTGGTCGTGGGAACAGCCAATAATTTCAATTTTATGTATGTGTTGACGACACCAGTCTTAGGACAACGCGTCAATATTATCAAACTCGCAGTCAACCCCAATAAAAGGCAGGTCTCTGATGGCGGTTGTTGTTAGATTCACCGGTACTGAGCACTTCATTCCATTTCTTAGCTTAGGGACGAGAGTTCAAGGCACTTGAGGAATCGCGGCTTGAACTCTGGCAGACTTGTTCAAGGATGATCGGGCTCTTTGGGGAGTTGAGAAGACTCCCTGATTGGTGGCAGTCCCTATCAGAGGAGTCCATTGCAGGTGCCCCCGGGCCCAAATACGCCGAAACACTTCTGCCGCATCTTGTCGCTGGGCTATTCCGCCTGTGGCTTGCAATTTTTGTATCCACTTACGGCCGGAAATCATGGACAACGCTTGTTAGACTCTTTGTTGCTCCGTTCGCAATTACCTACTTCTATAAGTTTGGCTTCTCCTACTTTCGAACCCTTGAGGATGGTGGAGACTTTGATCCCCAGGTGAGCTTATACAGCTCACACGGGATTCCAACATTGATCGTTTGATCGCAGTTACACACCGGGATTGCGACGGTTGCCCTCTATTGCATGATGCGTATCATAGAAACCTGTGTCATCCAACTTTCTGACGGCTCCGAGCTTCCTCGGGTGATAAACATTCAAACTGGGACGCCCCTCCCCTTGCCGAACACATTTCGGGGTCGGCTTGCCTATTCCATTGACCTGGTTTTTGGGATGCGCGGTTGTAGCTGGCGTTCGGGTAGATACTGGGACTTTGCTGCTCCAAGAGTTGTTGAAGGCATCAAGCAGCAATACACATGGTCTAAGGGGGAATTCCTGAGAAAGTCTGTAGCGTGGTTTGTTATTTGTTACTTCACAGTCGATGCAGTCGACACATTCGTCAAGTCGATGGATTTCAACGCCCTATCGCCGTATCCTGTTTCTGCGACTCTGCCGCTTTGGTTACAGATCCTGTGTGCTATAGCCCTTTGCACATGGATATACCTTGGTATCGCAGTGTACTACTGCATAATCTCAATATTCTTTACATTCATTGGGATCACCAGCCCAGAGGCATGGCCGCCCATGTTCAATATGCCATTTTTCGCAGACTCCATCGCGGACTTCTGGGGAAACAGGTGGCATTACCTGCTCCGTCAAACATTTGGGTCATTGCTCTCCGTCTTTTCATCCGCCTCTGATGGCCGCGCCATGAACCCCAGACGACTAGCTTTCCACCGTGGCAAGAATGTTGTTATTGTGTTCATTTTCTCCACTCTCCTTCATCTCATCATCATGGACCGTGTACCAATCGACGCACGTCGTCCGCATACGAAATTCTGGGATGTATCTATCATATCATTCTATCTCGCTCAACCCATCGGCATCATCCTGGAAAGTCTCCTCGTTCTTAGCCTTGCTCCGAATGATCAATCAAATTCAAACGGCTCTCCCAAAAAAGATACTGATGCTTACGGGACTACCGGGGACGCCCAAGTTTCCGGGGCGGGACTTACGAAGAAGCCTCTTCCTCCAAAACTCCGAGTTGCTCGGCGAATCTTTGCGTGGATTTGGCTGGTTTGGTCAGCGAGGTGGTGGGCCGATGCATGGGTGAACAGAGGATTGTGGGAACCCGATATCCGAGTTGTTTATTGGAGTCCCATTAGAGGGTTATTGATTGGTGATTGGACCGGTATCGGGAAACTTTCAAAATAGATCGATCAAGAGGCGCTGGGAGAGTATCTTCATATTTGTCCTCTCTATTTCGCTCAGGCATGCTTTAGATTCTGCTGTGGGGTATCCTTTAGTTCTAACAGTGACCGTCCATTCGCCTGAGTGGCATTTGACATCTATGTTGAATGTTAGTCAACCTGTGCAAAGACCAAGAGGGTCCGAGGTTGGTCCGAAGTCGCCTCGACCGTCGGAACATATGTGTACCAAGTCCGTTCACTAATCAGTCATATATGGCATCTGGAGCAGAAGTAGGAGGACGACAAACCGGATCACCAACTGAGTTTCTGTCTTCAAATTCAAACCCTATATGTATACAATTTCAACGATCTGCTGTCACTGCCTCAGCCGTTCATGCATTCCGACTCAAGAATTGGTCTCTCAACGATACTAGTACCGGGGGGTTCCCAGGTTCTCTTGGTGTGTCCTGGCCATTTCATAATGGTTTTATTGAGTGTGTTGGACAAAACGAATGACGAAGAGGATTTTACGGAAATATCAACGAAAGCATGCACAGCACAGCATTCTAATACATTCAATTGGCAGACATGCAACCATGGGTTTCTTCTCTGGCGCGGCTTCTAATAAGCGCACTGGCAGGTAGCGTGATGACTGATCGAGCTAGCCATGCGCGGTGAAGCTTCGCGCCGCATCTCATCCGCGCGCCCAACTGCCAGATTGCACTGCCTATTTGTGCAACCATCTCTGTTGGAGTACAAGTTATGATGCCGCACCGGGCCCGGCAACATGCACCCGGCCAAGCGCTGCACAGATGCGCAACATCTCACATTATTCCTAGTGACACCGCCTCTTCGACGCGTCTGTGCGCCACCGTTCTATAGAACAGCCCCGATGCACTATAAAACGAAGTGGTAATCTTTTAGTTCCGCTTTCGTCCTGTGCGAGCGTGTAGCCGCTGAAGCGCTACGTCCACATTGGGCTATAGTGATAACAACAATCTCTGTATACAGTGCGGACAGCCGCAAGGCGCGGCGAAGCAACATTTTCCCAGACGGCTACTTATGTGCAATATTTTTGGTTGCTTTATTGATCGGCCGAAACCGGCTTCACGATATCCCTGTCATATCAACCTACTGGCTCTCTAACGCCTTTGCATGATCGTTGTTAATCCAGTGGTTTCAGAATGAGAACGCACCAACTTAACTTAAGCAATATATCGACCTCTTCAGATCTTTTTTTACATATTATATATATCTCATTCATGACCTACAGTATTGCTTAACGATTAATCTATAACCAAGTGGAGGCCTTGTCCCTTTCAACAAATCGAACATTATAATAAGTGGTTGCATAATGGAAATATTTGCTCCCTCTTCAAGTTCGGTTTCCTTCCGATCAAGCATTCGCATTCTCTGGGTGCTCGAGTGCCACAAATCGCAGAACCGGCATGTCCCCCTGCCCTTTTGTTCCAAAGGTAGCTGCTTGTTCATTTATTAAATAACACTCGGTTCCAAGCTACGTGAATTCAGCGATGTTATATTCGCCGAGCGTGTACGCTAAGATACGGAGGTCAAGAAATTCGACTTTGCCAAAAAAAAAAAACCCTATCTTACCTCAACGTGAACTGGGGAAAGACGTGGAATGAACGAATTATTTACCCATAGCCAAGGCGTGTAGAATGGCGGTGCGGTGGAAGGATGCTGAAGTATGCCGACATGGTAAATATTTTGATTTATTTCTTTCTGTGGGATGTATACAAGCACATGTACCAGAACATAACTACGCTGCGAATTTACACGTAGAGGAGAGAGAAAGGGGCCGCGAAATCTTAACGGGGTCGGCGACGTCGAACCAACATATAGGGTGCCACGGCCAAAAAAAAAAGAAGGGTCGAAACGAACATTATCAGAATACGCGGTGAGGGGCGTAAGGCGAAGCGGGAAAGGATGCAGACGGGAGAAATCCTGCTAAACATGAAGGACGACCGAAGACGAACCGGTCGGAACAAAAAAGGAATCGAAAAGCCTCATTCTCCAGGACTTCTCCTACCACACACATATATATCACCCATCCACCATAGTACTCACAACTTCGCTCCCGTAAACTCCGCATCCAAATACTTCATCAAATCGCTCGTCAGGAATTCACTTGGGTACTCCTTCCTCTCCCCCTTCTCGACCTCACCCGACAAATACCTCGCAGCGATATCCACATGGTACTGCTTCACACCTCCAATCTTCAGCACGGAGGGGATATACTCAGCGATGTGCTTTTCCACGAGCGCTTTCGTAACGGGTTCGCCGGTGTCCTGCGAAGAAAGAATTATGAGTAAAGGAAAAGAGAGAATTAAGTTAGTTGGGAAACTTACGAGGAGAGCACCGTGATAAACCCATTGCCAGAGTTGAACGCGGGCAATTTCGGCGGTCGCCGCATCCTCCATAAGACCGTTGATAGGGATACATCCATTCCCTGTCACCCAAGCAGCGCAATACGCCAGAGCCCTGCCCACAAAGAAAGGGGGACATCAATATCTAATAACTTGACCCCAAACCTGAATGAAGCTCAAACTCACGCAAAAACGTTGCCCTTTACACCCTCCTCCGTGATCCTTCCTCCTATCACATCTCCATTCAACAATTCTTCTTCCCTAACCACAACCTCGTTCCTCAACACATGATACTGGTTAGGTCCTAGCATATGCGCATCGAACACATCTTGTGCAATCACCCTAATCAAGGGGTGCGCAATCCACGTTCCATCATGTCCAGCTCTCACTTCTCGAAGTTTATCCGCTCGGACTTTAGACATGGCGAGTTCGTTAGCGGCTGAGTCGTTCTTGATAGGTATCTGGGCTGACATCCCGCCCATCGCTGCTACTTTTCGCCTTGAAAAAAAAAAACCTGATCAAGGATCACGGGAAAATAATAAAAAAACAACAACCCACTTATGGCACGTCTTAATCAATAACCTTACATACGCATCCATGAACCCAACTTCCATCGTCACATCCTTCCTATCCGGCAAAATAGCGTTCCCACCCTCCGCCCTTCTCCTCTTGATGAAACTGAAAATATAGTCCCACCTTCCACAATTCAACCCACTCGAATGAACCCTCAATTCCCACAAGATCTCCTCCATCATGAACGCCGCCGGCAACGTCTCGATCAATACCGTTGCTCGAATGCTCCCAACAGGTATACCAATGTATGATTGAGAAAAGTAGAATATGTCGGACCACAGGCGCGCTTCGAGGTAGTGCTCCATTTTTGGGAGGTAGAAGTAGGGTCCGGATTCGTGAGCGAGGAGATATTTGGCATTATGATAGAAATAAAGTGCAAAATCGAATATGGATCCGGAGAGGAGTTTGTTATCGATTCGGATCCGAGTTTCCTCCAGATGCCATCCGCGAGGCCTACCCGAGGCGATGAAGATATCGAGTTTATCAGCTTCTTTACCAGAGGACGTGAAGGACGATAAGCTCACCTGACAATCAAAACGGCCGGATTCTCAACAAGCTTGTATTTCTTCCCACCCGACTCGAAATCGATCTGACGACGAACAGCATCTCGTAGGTTCACCTGTCCATTGACCAAATTCGCAAAGGTCGGAGAGTTGGCATCTGTCAAGTCAAAATGAAGTTGTCAGTTACTGAATCGGGAATGTGACACGGATCATATTAAGGCGTGGAATGCAAAGAGGTGCTAAGATGAAATATGGGGAGTAGCAAAACACTCAAAACACTGGAACACCGAGTGGTCCCGAGCTGAAAGTCCGAAAAAAGCCTCACCCTCAAAATCAGCCATGAACGTCTTCGCTCCGCAATTCAACGCATTAACAACCATTTTCCTCTCTCCGACACCCCCAGTAATCTCAACCCTTCTATCTTCCAACCCCTTGGCAGGGGGCGCACAGATCCACGTAGGGTCATTTCGAATGTGCGCAGTTTCGGGCGGGAAGGTGAAAGTCAAAGGGGATGGAGATGAGAGTGTGTCAAGACGCTTTTGGAAGGCTTGACGGGCGTGCAGGAGCTTTTTTGTTTTTATTTTGAGATCGCGTGTAAGAGCATGGACGTGCCGGAGTTGAGATGTGGGCAGGGAAATAGAGATACGTCAATTAGAAATAGAAGGGAGAGAGAGAGAGAGATCAAGAAAGTGAAGGGTACATACCGCCAATCGAGTAGGATTGAATGTCCTATGAAGGGCAGCCACGAACTTGATCGCGGGTTCAGTGAGGATCACCGCCTGAGCAGGTGTAAGTTTTGGACCTGTGGTGAAGAGTCAGGGGTTTGGTTTGGGATAATTCGTCATAATTGATGATTCGCATGGAATGAGGGGTGTTTGAGGCCGGATGGATGCCGTGGAATGGTGGCGAGAGTAAAAGTTGATGAGGAGTGAGTCGATGTCATTGGGTAATCATGATGATGACAAGCCCATTCCCATTCATTCGATGATCCCGAGAAGGTGAAGGGTTTGGTCAGATTTATGGCGTTGAAGGGGTTGGAAGGCCGGGAGCGGGACGGGGAGGTGTGTCAGGTGGACCAGGTTCAGGCAGGCGCGTGGCAACGTAGTTAACGAATGAAACATGTGTGCGCGTAGTCAGGGACATGCGGGGTCCCATGTGGGGAAGTTATATCCACGAAGCGGGGGTGCAACAAAAGCCATGATCACACAAACAATCCGGCGAAGCGCCATGTAGAATAGTCACCAAAAGTAGGACATTCATCAGTTTTCCTCCCGTATTGTCATGAAGGTAGTTAAAGTATCCAGGCACTAACCATGGTAAGTAACGCCCTTCACTTGAGGGAACGACATATTGTACGAATTAGGTTAAGGAGTCTCAGACTGTTAGGTGATTAAATGGGGAATGTTAGGGGTGAGGGGTATGAAGATAAGTCAGCGAATCGGTCTCGCTAGGTTTGTCAAAGACGGGAGGTGTACTAGCCTGGACTCCGGTGAGAGCGAGGGCAAGGAGGAGAGAGATCGAGTTTGAGAAACAGAGAATGATCCGCCTTAAGTATAGCCCGGGCTCTCCATTTTCACGGGGAGAGTTATTATACGGCCACAGATTATGGGACCCAAATTGAAAATTGAACCTGAGTATGCTGAACGCGAGAAGAGCTTTTAGAGGATCAAGTTATCACATGAAATACCCAAATGAGATCCAGCTACTATATAGTGCTACGTTGGGTTGCGTGCTTGAGCAACCCGTTCCTATAACATCACAAGGCCAGACGTTAAAGTTTTTTCGGTCTTGACTCAGTGGAAGGCTCAGTGGAATCGCAAAAAACGAGTGATGTCACTCAAATCGTCCGGTTCTCCGGTCAACTCAAACCTCAAGTTACCGGACAACACCACGGGATCTCGAATACCGTGAGAATCTATTGTTCCGGCACCGAACCACACCCTTGTCAAATTCTTCAGGAGAGTGGTGTGGAGGCCTAGTGGAGGCCCCCTCAATAAGTTTGTCCAGATGAGCCACATGCTGTGTGACGACTATACATGACCTCCTGAATAACCCAATACGCGCAAGTTGTGAAATCTCGTTTTTCCCCTCAGTTCTCTTTGAGGGACTGAGACGTCCGCACATTCAGCGCTTCGTGAGTTCGTACGTTGATTTCATCCCAGGTATTACCAAACCCGGCCGAATACATTCTCAACCGAGGAGCAGGGACCGCTCGGACGAAAGTACACAAGGATGGCCGCACAATTCGTGATATTTTAGGTCCGGTTCTGGGTATTTTCCAGCTGCCTTATTTGTGCTGCCGACTGGCCACACTGACATCTGTTGTCCCGCTTCTTAGTTGAAAGCTTTATTGCCTCATCGAGATGGGTTCGAAGATGATAGAATAATTCTAACGGTTCCATGAATCTTTATCCATACTCGAAGATCGGGCCTTCGAGGTTTCGAAAACTCGGATGTTATACATCATGCGGTTTATATAGGTGCTTTCAAATCCATATGTATGGTGATGGGTTGTTGGTTAGAATGACTGATGGACGTTTGATAGAGTATCCTTAGAATCGGCGTATACCCGAGCGAACGAAATACGAGTAGGGATGGCGGGCAGAACGGGCGAGCGGGCAGGTAGGCAGTAACCCAGTTATAGTATGTGTCAAAGAGCCTAGCTTTTGATAAATCCCACTCACCGAATGGACATAGCGGGCATGCACAGCTAGCCAAGCGGGCAGGGGACAACTTGGACACGACACGAGTCAAAAAGAGAGTTGGGCTTTTCCCTAAATCGTGCTCACTGTCTGGAGATGGCGGGCAAGAGACTAAGGGAAAAAAATAAACCTTGTTTCCAGAGGGGTTGAATCTCCGCTACTCTGCGCATCTGTGCTGAGTCACCCAATCCATCAGTGAGTACGAGATTCTAAGTTGAATGACTAAAAAATCAAAGAAATGGCCCCGAGCGGGGTTCCGGGGTTCCTGTTTGGTTGCCAGCGCTGATTCGACCCATTCAGCGACCTCCCTCGATACTTACAGTCTGGCGTTCGAATGCCGATTTCACTCATCCAACATAACTTGTTGCCCGCTTTCTTTGCTACATAAATGCGAGGTCGCCATGAGCGTCAAATCATCCAAACATTCCCTATTTCTTTGTTGGACTCTATATCATATCTTCCCTTGCACGCACACTCGAGTACCACCGAATCGAAGGACCGTGGGTGGATTTAGGACGCCTAAAACTAAGCAATTTTTGTTGATGCCAGACTGGAATACATCTATTTCCAATCCGGGGGAAAGGGATCGTCACCGCCTCTATCTCAGCGTGTCCTACAGACCTTCAATGGAACCAGCTAAGACCGTCACATTGCCCTGTGTGTTTTTCGCGGATTGTAGCGGAGCAATCGCGATAGTGTTGAAATTGCTCCCCCAGGCAACAGTTGATCATTTCGAACCCTGGTCTTGTAAAGGAGGCTGCTGTGGCACCTCATTGGGGTCCATATGAAGCGTCGTATTGCGGGCTTGGTGCCACGGAGTGACGCCAACTGGGGAAATTGGGATTGTTGTATTTCCAACTCCCAATGTTCGATGTGAGTGAATGCGGGACAGGGTCGAAAGAAGGCGTCATTATCGAGAAGGTTTTGAATGACGAAGGTGCATTTTCGTGCCCCGAGCCGATACTGACACGCCCTCGTATGCTTATCAATTAATTATGTTGGCGTAGGCGACGTGACGCCACCCAGCAATTTACCTCAACTCGATCAAATTCTTCGTGACACGCACGAAAAGTTGTTCAAGCTCGATCCAGTGCTGCTGGACATTTCGCTTTGGGTTTACGAGTTATTCGATCTTCTCCGAGAGAGTGTCATGTTGATGGAGACTTCCTGCCAAATTGGTTGCGTCGTGTCCATTTAGCTCAATAGGACGCAAAACTTCTTTTCTTCCACAAGTCTACCCCATGGTACACTGACTACTTATCGGCATCCATGCCCAACAATTTCGTTGTGGTAGGAGATTCCGCCATGCATGTGTACGATACTTCTCTGGCTTGCCACAGAACTGTGAACTGACAAGTGGGGATCAATCAGTCGCGAATCTCTTTGCCCAAGGGATGATGAAGGCATTGGGAAGTGTCGTCGTGCTCAACATAGCTTTGCACAAGCACATCACTGACTCCATCAACGATGCTAGCATCACCTCGCTGCCAATTTCACGTTCCTATTTCGCATTGGCCAATCAAATTTGCATCCCCATATACGATCTCAATCGTTTGTTCGACTCTTGACTACCCGACCACGATACCACAAGAAGGGGAAACTTTTGAATACGGTGCTAGATCCGAGGCGTGTTGGAAGTATTTAAACCAAGCTAGCCAAAAGAGCACGATGGTTGCAAACATCCTTGATGGCGAGTCAGGCCGGGTGTGAACGTGTTTAATCCGATGGTCGCCGGTTGCAGGGGTTTACTTTTAGGTTGAAAAGGCTCAGTGAAATTACAACTGTGTCAATTGTCGGGTTCTTGAGGTTCGGAGTTACCGGCCACGCTACGAGACGTCGAATTTGAAAATATGTATTTACCCCGGCATCAAACGTCAACTGTCTACGTGGAAGAGTGACGTGGAATGATGACGCGCGGGTACGCATATCATGCTCATATCAGTTATTGATATTATACCCTTTGTCCATATGCAACATACATGTTTCCCTGTTACGCTACGCTACTACGTTACCATGTAGTGCTCATGTATTCGCATCTCTCTTGTCTTATCACTTTAGCCACTTATGCCGCCGCGCGGTTACAATGTTATGTAGAGATCTTTCCCCCGCTTGAGTATCCCTCGCTAAATGCCACATAAGTGTATTTTTACCAGGTCGCTCGACATTTGTCGGGGTCACGCTAGGGGCGGGCCGCCGCATCATGTCAGGGAACCTCCCGACCGGATTGGACGAGGTGATCCTCATTCAAATAGATGACAGAATTGATGAAGATCCTGTTATTCATTTGAATGAGGATCACCTTACTCGGCCAATCAGGTCCCTGGGAGGTTTCTGATGCTACTTTTCGCTGCTCGTTCCGTCGCAACACCAGATCCTGGTGCTGAAGAGTGGCTATGCAAATTTCAATTCAAAATTCCTGTATGTAATAGAATTTCTTCAATTTTAAAGTTGGCTCACATGCTTATTGCCAGTCAACGTCACAGTTGTTGGTCATGTACGTACGGTACTCGACGTACAGTTTCCGTTCGCAGTGAAAAAACAATACGTTGTATCCCCTTGTGGGACGACTGGTATCATATCACCAAAATCGGACTGGCGCTCCCACATGCTCCAGGTGCTCCCAGGTGCTCTGGAGCCTCCGGAGTGCTCTGGACCAGGGGACTTTGCTCCAGTTGCCTGTCCGATTTTCGTGATTGGCATGTCAGACCTGTTACTGGCCAGTAGGCGCCCCATACCAGAGACACCCACCCATGTACTGGACGATCTCTTGGGGGTCAGTCCTCTGTACTGGAGCCATCAGTCCGAGAACCGTGGCTCGGGGTTAGTCTTGGGAAATGATCACTAATAGTAATATTAATTAATTAGCAATCAAACTGAGAATCATGCATGGTTCGTCATTTGACCCATTCAGAGTCGACACAGCATTATGTTCAAGCCCATTTCCCTCACTGAAGGGTCTTACCTACGGGCTCAGTCTCGTGGCAGAGAACTGGATGTCATTCCGACCCTTGGCCTGTAGGTACTCAGATCAGTCAAGATATAGGGATTGACATTTGTTACCACGTTGGAGGAACAATTAACAATAAACGTCGTTAGCCGTGTTGATTTCCCACAACGTGGCGTTTTTGAGACATAAATACGACGTCGTTGTAGTGCGCCTTGCCCTCCAACGCCACTAAAAATGCTGTCTGAGGTTGTCTCTTTCCTTGTTGGACTTTGTATCGTCTCTTCCATTGCATGGACAGCGCTTCGTCACCATGTCAAAAAGACGACGATGGTCTTTTCCCATTTCGAACTGCTCCGCACCAAACGCAATGGGAAAAAAGTGGAAGGGACAGCTGTGATCGCCGGGGGAAGGTGAGCCCCATTTTGAATTCCTTAGTTATTCTTTATCCTTCCCCCCCCACCCTCTTCCCCAGCATTTCGGGATACGCTACTGCCCGTATCCTATCCGATTATTTCACACAAGTCGTGATCATCGAGCCGGATCACCGTATCGAGAGAACTGCAACGCGTGTTGCCCAGCGTGGCCACATCCATTTCCCACTGCCAATGACAATCATCATATGCCGAGCACTTTACCAAGGTTTCGATGAGGCTGTTCGTAGGATGGGTTACAAGATACGCCCCTCCTTTCGACGTTTGATATTCGGCAGTCTCTGGAATTGGAGGTCTACAGCAACACACCCTGGACTCGAGTACCATAGAGTCCAGTGAGTGACTATGCGAGAGGTACCTAGCACATCTATGACTAAGCAATCTCCGTTGGCGCTAGACTGGAGGAGGTCTTCCGTGAGCTGGCTGCCTCCTACGTAGGGGATTCCTTGGAAGTTATCCAGGGGACTGTCACCAATCTACATACCCCTCCTGCACCACAATCAGCTTCAATCTCTGCCGTGTCCTACAGACCTTCGATGGAATCAGCTGAGACCGTCACATTGCCCTGTGTATTTTTCGCGGATTGCAGTGGAGCGAACGCGATAGCGTCGAAATTGCTCCCTCAGGCAGCGGCTGATCATTCAAAGCCTAACTCCACAACAACCGCCATTGTGCCTCATTGGGGACCATACACTCGGCATTCGTATTCACCAAACGCGGTGTATAGATGCTTTTACGTTCCTGTAAAGGGTGAGAAGTTGAAGAGCCGTATTGCCAAGTTAGTACCACGGAACGACCCCAACTGGGGAAATTGGGACGAATTGACTCTGTTGTATTTCCAACTCCCCATGTTCGATGTGGGCGGATGCGGGAAAGGACCAAGAGAAGGCATCATTATCGAGAAGGTTTTTGATAACGAGGGTGTGTCATCTGCGTTTCGTTTCCCGGGGACGATACTTACCCTACACCACAGTGCTTATGAATTACATCGGCGTCGGCGATGTGACACCACCCAGCAATTTAGCTCAACTCGATCAAATTTTTCGTGACACGCACGAAGAGTTGTTCAAGCTTAACCCAGCGCTGCAAGACATTTCGCTTTGGGTTTACGAGTTATTCGATCTTTTCCGCGAGAGTCAGGTTGATGATGAGATCCAGATACTTCCTGCCAAATTGGTGCGTCTCTTGTTCCATCTGGCTCAATGTGTCGCGACGGTTCTAAGAGTCCAAACAAGTCTACCTCGTGGTATATCGACTACTTATCAGCACCCACGCCCAACAATTTCGTCGCAGTAGGAGATTCTGTTATGTGTACGATATTCTCCCTCCTTAGCGCCCCCACACGGATGTGAACTGACGATTGAGGAATCAATTAGTCGTGAATCCACTCTTTGCCCAAGGGATGATGAAGGCATTGGGGAGTGTCGCCGTGCTCAATACAGCATTGCACAGGCATATCACCGACTCCACCAACGATGCTAATGTCGCCTCGCTGCCGATTTCGCGTTCCTATTTCGAATTGGCCAATCAAATCTGCATCCCCATCTACGACCTCAATCGTTCGCTCGATTTTGGCTTCCTAAGCTCGACCCCGCAAGAGGGGGACACTCTTGAATACGGTGCCAGATTCAGGGCGTATTGGAAGTATTTAAACCAAGCTAGCCAAAAGAACACAATGGTTGCAAATACCCTGGATGGTGTGGTACATGGAGTCAGGCCGGGTGTGGATTTGTTTAACCCGATCATTGTGGCACGGGTTTTGTGGGAACGACTTCTAGGTTGAAACGTAAAGCTCGGCGTTTGGCAGATTTCCCTGCTTCCATTTCACATGCCACAACTGCACCCATTGAAATTTTTGGTTCTCCAGATTCTCTCCGTGTTGATACAATGGAGGTATTTTTTGCACTGCGTTGGGTTTACCCACGACATGTGTGACTTGCCGTGCAATTAATCTTTGTTTCAATTCCTGGACTCTACGCGATTCCAATGAATTTCCGTAGCCCATCCTGAAGGAGTTGGACTCGGACGGGATTCCAGTTAAACTCGGCCGTGCATTTGTGTTTTCAAACCGTCAGCTTCGTGAATTAAACTCACGGACACGTTCTCGAGCTCCTTGCGCTTCGAGGTTCTGACTGAACAGCCCCATGCTTCGAAATGCGGCAGTAATCTACATTGTGGTTCCCCAGGAAGTTCGATAGGTCGTTTCCATGAGGCGGTGACGTGCCGCGAGCTTGGGTTTTTCCAAGGCTCAGGAACGTCAATCTGACAATTTGCCCCTGCATGTGGGTGCTGGGCTGGCTTAACTACTCCATTAATAGCGTTGACACCTGGCGTCTGAGTTGCCTAGTATACTCACATCCTCGCTCTAGCTCTTCATTCTATATTGTGATCAAGGTTGCATGATTTTAGGCAGCCTCTAGCGTGCTCCGCGCCTCGTAATTACGTCCTTAAGACTGGTCATTGGATAATCGCCGCAAGCATCATCATTGTTGGCACAAAATGAATTTCTACAAATTTGAATTATATTGTGCGTACGCTTGACCTGAGATTGAGGTCGTCAAAAGCACGTACCAATCAGGAAAAATCATGAAAGCAGTGTGGCTACAAGAAATTGGTACATACGCAAAAATAAGGGTCACAAATAAGGAGCCGATCAGGCTCGACAAGATACACAAGTCATGCAACATTCATTGGAGCAATGCTCAAGCAGGGAATATGAAAACATCAGCATAAGGTGTCTCTTGCTTTAAGCGAATCAAAGATTTGGTGGCGAGCCCTGAGAGAGATGAATTTTCGGGTCAGCCACAGTAAGACACGGTGCCTGTACATACCAAGACAATGGTAGAAAGCAGCAGCAGCAACACGAGGAGTACTCGTTTCAACAGGAGCGATATCTTGAAGTCGAATGGATGATGATTGTTTGGAAGCCAGTAGTTGCTTGGTATACCTAACAGATGATCACAGACACAGTTGGCATCGTAAACGCAACAATAAACATTGTGACCCACTCAAAGAAATTGAGCGCATTACGCTCAAGTGCGACGAGACGAGATGCGTCGGACAGGTGAGATTGCTGAGATTCTTGCTGAGAGTCAATAAGTTGGGAATCTCGTGGAATGACCATGCCGTGAGTCTGAAGCACCACAGGCGAGGAGGCATGATGATACCGACCAATTCCAAGATTGGGACTCACGTTCACAATGTCCTCTCCCCCACTAACACCGAACTTGAACGCAGGAGAGTCCGAAGCATATCGAGAAGGCGGAGCACCAAGAGAACCCTCGCGACCCAGATCTTGACTTCCCCTCCCTCTACCGTCAATCCTTCAAACGCCGGCAATCAAATTCAGTTAATTTGTCCCCACATGTTTGCTGGTAGGAAGAGTTATTCTCACCGAAGCATATCTGGAGTCCCACCAAAAGCGAGATCTTGCATCGATCCGCCAGCACCACTTAACGCAGGGAAACCCGCATCAAAATCGGAAGACTGGAATCCGCCTTGTTCCCAAGGGAGGAACGAGCTACGTTGAGAGGCGAGACCAAGGGCAGAATGTGAGCGAGAAAGAGCACGTCGCCCAATTTCGGGCGTCTATTATTCGTTTTCGAAGTTAGGAAAGGAAAGGAGGTTATAGAATGGTGGTGCGAGAAGTCACTAAGCTCACGTCGAGTGATACTTGACGAGAATGCACTTGGCTTCCGGGATTAAATGTCATGTCGTCGAAAACACCTGTCTGTCTACCACCCGCAGCCGCGTCACCCATGTCGATATCTATTGAAGGGCATCAGTCAGCAAGAAACCATAGATGTGAACCCATTACCCCCCTCCTATGGCTATCGGGTCGAATACCCCCTCGTCACCGAATACATCGTTACCAAGTTGTTCTTCACGAACGTTAAACCCCTTCTTCACAGCGTCACCATCCCCTCTTCGACGCTTGCCAGGTGGTTCTAAGATATGGGCTTCAACTCCAAAGTCTCGTAGCGGTGTTCCGCTGTACTATACCTGGTGAGCGGAAGACGGCCTCGGAATGCTTGTGCGCGATAACTTGATTCCTATAAATTTTCTCCCACAATTCTACTAATTCTGGTGCACAAACTGATGGTGGGTTTCAACCCAATAAATAGTTTGGTTGGTTAGTTCCATGGCCGTTGGAGCGAACACAATGAACGAAAATGGCCAAACCAATAGAGGTACAAACACTCGCAGTTATGAAGTTTGGGATTAGCGCGCACTAGGATGTTTGCCATAGTCTTGAATCGCAGTAAATGCATTGCAGAGATGCTTCAGTAGTTGGGATAGGGTGTGACCGTTCATTCGATAGCAAATTGTTCTGGCCATTGCATGTGCGAGTCCCACAAACTTGAGAATACGCAAGCAATGCCCAGGTAGATGGGATAAGCGTCGAGCTAGGCAGGCAGGACGGTCTTGATGTGTCTCAACCCCAAGAAGAAATCCGGTCAGTCATGGGTCCGGCCGATCACCCTGACGAAGGTTGAGCACATATCTAGCTTCATCTCAGGCACAGCCGGGCAAGGCATCCCACCACTCGTTGCGGAGATAGGAATAAAAAAACGTATGTAATGAAGCGCGAAAGCTCGTCCCACGTAACGTTCAGACATGGAATGCGACCGAGTGAGAGCACCGAACAAAGGAGGTGTCGTCAAATTGCCACCGAGGAGCTAATGGCCATCAAAACGTGCTTTTTGACGTCAGGCGAAACGCATCAGCGCTGTGCAATCGACGACACATCCAACCGAGACGCAAGTCATAGCTGAACGCCACCGTGGGACAGTCTAAACCTACGAGAAGAGGAAAGTTAACAGTCGGGAACCATTTGTCTTCCCAGGTTGTTAATCACGGATAAAATGCGACAAGAATCGCAACCGAGAATCCCGGTCACTGATCCCAAACAACATAGCGTGGACTGAGGTCCCATGAAGGGTATCGCGTAAAAGCAATGGCTGGTAAGTAGGAGGCGAATGATAGAAACGCACAAATATTGGGAGCTTCCCAGATCGCCTAGAAGGGGATGGATCAGCCCAGCCAAAAAGAACTTTAGGGTTGGGCTATACCTGAGTCGCGAATAGATATTCCCTCTTGTCCCTCTTTTTCCACTCAATTTCCCTCGCAATTCTTTCTTGTTCTTGATCATAATGATCTCGAGAAGCTTTCAACTCGGCATCCGTCAGCTCGATACGGCCATCAACAATGGGCTTAGAAGTGAGCGGTTTCGTCTTGCGCAGCTTCTTTGTCGTGGCATCGGCATCTAGCTTTGGAGATCCGGGTTCCGCCAACTCTTCACGCATCTAGTTCATAACATAGAAGGCGCAAATAAGGAGTTGGTTGAAGGCAGATCAGAAGCGACACGCACGCGCTTCCTCGCAGGGCTACCTCCAGTTGAAGCAGCTACCTGAGCAGCCGTACTAGCTTGAGGACCTCCGTCTTGTGGGTTTTGCATGCCAAAACTAAGATGCCAGTGCAATAAGGAGCAATGAATTTTGGGTCTTGGTACGAGGTTGGGAGAATTGTGCACCCAATATCGCCCAAATCCATCTCAAAATTCTCAAAAGGGTCTCCGGCAGCCCCCATAGGTTCAACACCAAAGGCTCCAACGGCCGACTCGCCCTCGCCGAAAGCCTCAGGACCCAACCCGAAATCCAATCCACCAAAGTCAAGTCCCACCATGTTATCCCCGCCACCGAACTGAAATCCATCATCCACTCCCATCTCAGCAAAACCACCGAAGGACACATCCGATGTAGGATTGTATACGAGCAGGTGATCTTCATTGAGAATGTGATCATCGCGATTACGTTGTTGTTGGGATGAGAAATGGTGATATTGAGCGCTAGCAGGCGTTTCGCCTCGGCGGATCATATCGGGAGTTTGGGGCTCTGGTAAGGTGAGGGGGTTACCTTGAGAGGAAGACGCAGGTTCTATGAGTGTGAGATCTGAGCGCGGTGATGCGAGGGTGATGGAGGATCCGAAGGACAGATCGGAAGTCGTGATGTCTCCCCAAAACTATGCATTGCAAATGAATGGACTCGATCAAAGAGTTACCAGAAGACAGGTCCCCGTGAAACTCACAGGCTCAAATAAATCGAATTGCAAGTCGAATTCCCCCGACATTGAATCGTTCGCTGATAGAGTAACAAGTCCGGGACGAACGCTGCTGGTTGTCATGACCAAATCTTTCCATCCGATTTCATGGGACTTCATCTCGAATACGGCCTTTTTGAGATTTGCGTGAACTTGGGACACGTCAGCCGCAAAAATCTCGCATTTCGCAACGTAGACGCTAATCAAAAAGAATCAGCAACAGCGCACTCTCCAGCGGCCGGGTGGTTGGACAAATTTGTTTTATTCACACACCGCGTGACCCCAACCATGAGGTTACTCGATAGTCGTAGGGCAAGAGGCTCATCCGGCTCTTCGATAAGACTGCACAACGAGGAGATGTCAGCGTTCAAGATTGAGCGGCGAGGAAGCTTCTTGAACGTCGAGCGAGATCCTAGGGTGGCTGCTAGCCTTTAAATCGCGCAACAAGGTGTCAAGACTGTTTTAAACAAGATCGGGGCATCAAATGTAATCGCACCAGAGCAAACCGAAACCACTGTCGCGTTGTGAAAGGAGCTCGTTGGAGAAAAACATTGTTGGGGTCTGACACAAAGCTTGGGCTTCCTCTAGTTACGAGGACTAGTCCAAATCGAAAGTTGAAGAGAGCGAAAGGACTTGAGCGTGGAGCCTGTCCGCCGAGAGGATGGGTATTTCCAAAGTAGGTCATATGTATTGCTAGGTGTTGGACGGCGCCACAGTAACTCGGCAAACTCCGCTCTTTCGGTAGATTACTTGATGCCGAATAAATTATCATGGCTGCTGCAGGATCAGGCTATTGCCGCACCCAACGCGCGCGAAGCCGCATGGCATACTCTCTCTCCCCCCTATATGAACTTCTGAGCGCCAGCCCGCATGGTGACAACTGCTACATCATATTCCCTACATCCTGAATCCTCCCGGTCCCCT